GAACAGTGGAAACATAAAAAACATACTCCGTAATTTTGTTCATACAGATCATTAAACCTGCAAAGTGTTTACTTATATTTGTGTACACTCGCAATAAAACACAACATTGTGCACACTGTAAACTCTTGTCAAACTGTAACCTACAACTGTCACTCAACCAAAATCACACACACACTGTTTTAAAAGAAAAACATATTTATCCGACTCCATTTCAAAACAGTCTGTTGGTTCCATCTTTTGGACATTCATCATATCGCATTGGTTTTCATGTCTTGTCCTCGGAGCACTAATCTCACACATTCTACATTCATTAAAAAAGAAAATCGAATTTGTTTTTAATGGTAGTATTATTTTAACAGAAATCAATTATTTATAATTCAGATGAGAATAATGTTACATTGTTAATTAATAATGTTAATTAAAATTAAGGAAAACAAATATATTGATCTGAAATATAGCAAATTAATTTTAAATTAATTCAGGTACAATTACCAAACATATCGCAAGGTCTTTTTGTCTTTTCATTAATTTAATTAATAAACTAATTATATAAAACTATTGTCAGTGCACTACAAATAAACTGGTTCTATGCCTTTATATAATAAAACTTATTTAAAAAATACAATGCCTTCTGCATTTTTGTTGTGCTTTTCCCTCCATTGTACCGAAATCGTACCGAACCGTGATGTCTGAACCGAGGTATGAACCGAACCGTGACTTCTGTGTACCGTTCCACCCCTAATAGACAACGTTGAATTTTTTTCGCAACCGCGCGAGAGATCACTTCCGGCGCTTGCGCAGACCGAAGCGCCGGCGCCCTCAGATCACTTGGACGTGGCTGTGGTTACAAGAGGTAAAAAAACAATACCAGAGTTCGTTTGGAACCGTACCGACACCACCTCTTCGGCTGGGTCTCGGTTCGGTTGTTTGGTCCGCACCCGAGTTCGATTGCTGTATTCACACCTGCCCAAAAGGTCCGCACCAAGGGGGGAAACGAACTAGAGTTCGATTCAATCGAACCAAACAAGGCAGGTGTGAATACACCCTAAATATGAATGAGAACTAAAGTTTTTTTTAAATCGAAATTCGGAATCGATAAGCAGAATCTGAATGGTTAAAGTCCTCGTGATGCAGGAAAGCTTCACAAGGTCTGATTTCTTCCAGGGTGTTGTCGGAGGAGTGATGATTATAACGCCCAATAACATCATGTTCGACCCGCACAAGTCGGACCCGCTGGTGATCGAGAACGGGTGTGAGGAGTACGGGCTGATCTGCCCCATGGAGGAGGTGCTGTCGGTCGCCCTGTATGACGACGTGTCCCGCATGAAGCTCAAGGACGCGCTGCCATCGTAAGAAAACACTCTCTCCATTTATCTTCGTCAGAATCTTTATAAGTTTCTTTTGAAGGGGTGGTTGATTATGATTTCACTCTTCTAACTGTAGTTAGTGTGTAATGTTGCTGTTTGAGCGTAAACAACATCTGCAAAGTTACGACACTCAACGTTCAAATCAAAGGGAGATATTTGCTTTTAGAAATCGCTTTTTAAGGACTACAACAAACGGCTGGAAGAACTACACGAGCTTCCTCCCCGGTTAGTGACATCACAAACACTCAAATTTACATAAACCCCGCCTTCGCAAATAAGGGCTCTATGAGGCTCTGAGCTCTTGAAGCTCCGCCCCCTGTGCCGGGAGCAGCGGCTCATTTGCATTTAAAGAGACACACACGTAACTACGCTTTCGCTCACCCTATAAAAAGGCCAATTTTAACATGAGATAAATTAATCTGTGGGGTATTTTGAGCTAAAACTACTACAATACACACTCTGAGACATCAGAGGCGTATTTTACATCTTGTAAAAGGGGCATTATACCACCCCTTTAAAGTCTTTTACGTTTCTTTTAAAATGATTATGTGCTTGTGTTCGCTGTTTTAAAGGTGCATTGTGTAATATTTAGGAGGATCTGTTGACAGAAATGCAAAATCATATACATAACTGTACATAACCTTACATAATGAACCGTTGTTATGTTTTCATTACCTTCGAATGAGGCATTTCTATCTACATACACCGTCCGCGGGTGTGTGAAATTTACACGCTGCACCTTTAAGTGTCAGCATTATATAAAAGTGAGGCTTTTATTATGTAATCTGTGAGCAGCTACATCCTGTGTCTTGTTCATTTGAGGAGTTTTAACGGCTCTAATGTCTCTTGGTTCAGTTTGTATCAGGTCACGGTTTTGATCCAGGAAATATTTATGGGTGCATAGATCAAATTAAATTAATTTAGGTTGATATTTTAACACTGTAGTAACCAATACCAATCCAGTTAATTGTTGGATTAATTATTTTTTTATTTTAATTTATATTTTAATTCATTTGTTTTAATTAATAAATTAGATAATTTATCTTTTTTATTATTTTGGTTAAAACCTATTTGATTTAATAAATGCTTTTATTTGAATTTATTTATTCTCGTAATGATATATTTATTTTAATTTTCATTTATTTGTATATATTTTATGTTTTTTAATGTTTTACTTATTTTAATTAATTTATTCGTTTATTTTGATTAACTTAAGTTCAAATAAATGCATTTAATAAATTTATTTATTCTCCTTCATTTTTAATGATATTTTATTTAAATTTGTATATATATATATATATATATATATATACACTCACCTAAAGGATTATTAGGAACACCATACTAATACTGTGTTTGACCCCCTTTCGCCTTCAGAACTGCCTTAATTCTACGTGGCATTGATTCAACAAGGTGCTGAAAGCATTCTTTAGAAATGTTGGCCCATATTGATAGGATAGCATCTTGCAGTTGATGGAGATTTGTGGGATGCACATCCAGGGCACGAAGCACCCGTTCCACCACATCCCAAAGATGCTCTATTGGGTTGAGATCTGGTGACTGTGGGGGCCATTTTAGTACAGTGAACTCATTGTCATGTTCAAGAAACCAATTTGAAATGATTCGAGCTTTGTGACATGGTGCATTATCCTGCTGGAAGTAGCCGTCAGAGGATGGGTACATGGTGGCCATAAAGGGATGGACATGGTCAGAAACAATGCTCAGGTAGGCCGTGGCATTTAAACGATGCCCAATTGGCACTAAAGGGCCTAAAGTGTGCCAAGAAAACATCCCCCACACCATTACACCACCACCACCAGCCTGCACAGTGGTAACAAGGCATGATGGATCCATGTTCTCATTCTGTTTACGCCAAATTCTGACTCTACCATCTGAATGTCTCAACAGAAATCGAGACTCATCAGACCAGGCAACATTTTTCCAGTCTTCAACTGTCCAATTTTGGTGAGCTCTTGCAAATTGTAGCCTCTTTTTCCTATTTGTAGTGGAGATGAGTGGTACCCGGTGGGGTCTTCTGCTGTTGTAGCCCATCCGCCTCAAGGTTGTGCGTGTTGTGGCTTCACAAATGCTTTGCTGCATACCTCGGTTGTAACGAGTGGTTATTTCAGTCAAAGTTGCTCTTCTATCAGCTTGAATCAGTCGGCCCATTCTCCTCTGACCTCTAGCATCAACAAGGCATTTTCGCCCACAGGACTGCCGCATACTGGATGTTTTCCCCTTTTCACACCATTCTTTGTAAACCCTAGAAATGGTTGTGCTCGAAAATCCCAGTAACTGAGCAGATTGTGAAATACTCAGACCGGCCCGTCTGGCACCAACAACCATGCCACGCTCAAAATGGCTTAAATCACCTTTCTTTCCCATTCTGACATTCAGTTTGGAGTTCAGGAGATTGTCTTGACCAGGACCACACCCCTAAATGCATTGAAGCAACTGCCATGTGATTGGTTGATTAGATAATTGCATTAATGAGAAATTGAACAGGTGTTCCTAATAATCCTTTAGGTGAGTGTATATATATATATATATATATATATATAAATGTTTTACTTATTTATTTTAATTTATGTTTTATTTTGATTTAAAACCATTTGGTTTATTGAATGCTCTTATTTGTATTTATTTAATTTTTAATAAAATATATTGATTTTAATTTGTATAATTTTATTTATTTTCAATATTTATTTGTTCTTTTGATTTATTTTAATGTAAATTTTTTCTTATTTATTTTCATTCATTTGTTTTTATTTATTTGCTTATTCACTCCATTCATTCATTCACAAAAAGCCTCTTTTAAACCATACACCTACAGAAAAAGCCCAGTGGCAAAGCGAACGATATAAATGTAAAGTGTAAAGTCTCTACTTTATAAACGGTGTGATTGTTGCATTTTTTTTTTTTTTTTGGGCATGTTTATTCAGTGTCAACATGATCAATGTACAATGTGTTTTCCCGAAGTAAATAGAAATGCAGTAATTCAACCGAAAATCTTCAAAATATTGTGAGTTTTGTTTCAAATAAACTACAGAAACAACTCCAAAGCAAAAAAAAGACAGTGTATAAATGATAAAATACATGCATAAACATATTCATAATAAATAAACATATAAAGGTACTAGAGTAGCAATAATAAACATAAGAATAATACCAATAATAATGTTGGGGACAAGGTTAGTCACAAAGTTTAACAATCAAAACCTACAGAAAATCACATGAGTTTTCCCTTACATCTCTATCATAACCATTAACATAATCCTATGACAGAGACTGATACATTACATTTATTCATTTAGCAGACGCTTTTACCCAGAGCGACTTACAAACGAGAGCAACAGCAGTGAAACTAACAGTAGGACAGTTCTCAGTTTAATCTAACGCAGTACATGTAAAAAAATATAAATAAAAAAAATTGAATAGAAGAGAAATGTCCTTTTAGAACACAAAAAACCATCAGAACATAAAAACCATTCGTTATAAGTGTTCATAAGCCCGCCTCCAGAAGGAGGAACTCAACACCCCAGAGAGCCTTAATTTACACACACAACTATTTTTCTCAAATCCAAAGTGATTTATAAGCAGAGATTAAGTTCTGAAAGCTCTGTGCATTATGGCGTTAGAATTGTTGCATTATTCCACATCAATAGATTGAGATTCACAAACAAATGTAAAGAGATTCACAAATTATAAAACTCACAAATAAATAAATTGAGATTTGCAAATAAAAAAAATATTTGGACAAATCCAGAAATAAACTGACTCCACCCACCGTTTCCTCAAGCCAATCAGATAACGGCCACATTGAGCTGACCAATCGTAGCACGTTCTCGCTACAACCAATCACGTTAGGCTTTACACTCGGGGCGGGAACTGAATCTGACTCATTTTGAAGATATTTGCACCCTTTGAAATGGAGCTGTAATCAATGGACGCTTCATTAAATTGAGCTGTTTGTGGTTAAAACACCCCGTTTCCAAATGTTAAGGCTTCTTTATATTTGCATCAGGATGAACTCAGGATTACACACAATTTATGATTATCACAGATCCAGAGCATCTCACAACTCCCTCTCTACACCAGACTCAAGCGGCGCGAGACACACGTCAAAAGCAGATAGCCCATTATCCTCCCCATATGACTGGCATAACACCTGCATAATCATGACATGACGCGTTATGAATATGAAGGAGGGTTTATGCATGTTTATGACAACTGTCATTAAGTGTCATTCGCTTAATTATGACATTCTTAATGCAAATATGACATTGTTTGAGATGTCTTTGTTATGACAACTTGACATAAACCAATACATCATAACCTGTCAGTGTCTTTGTCATGACAACTTGACATTACTAAGACAACATAAACTGTCATAAACATGACATAGCAGATTAATTATCAAACTTAAGAAAGCACTTAGCTTTATGGGTTAACATTATATTAAACTGTCATGTGGTTGGTTTTGACATTGGCTGTCATGAGGCCGTTATAACTGTGTCATGAATATTTTTCGTGACCTCGACTACAGTGGTACACATTGAATTTGCCATTAAAATGTTATAATGCCTCATGACAGCCAATGTCAAAACCAACCACCTGACAGTTTAATGTAATGTTAACCAGTAAAGCTAAGTGCTTTCTTAAGTTTGATAATTAATCTGCTATGTCATGTTTATGACAGTTTATGTTGTCTTGGTAATCATCTTGAGCTATATAACATTGATTAGTTTTATGTACATTTGCTCACTGTGTAATAAAGCTCATGTAAGAGCGGCGTCTCTGTCGAGTCGAAGTTAGCCGCGGACGCTAGCTCTCGGCATCTCGGAAACGCCACGCCGATACTGATCCTCGTTTTAGTTCTCCTTCTGTCTCAAAGTCTGCTTGCCATGATCCATAATGTTTGAACGAAACAACAACAGCGTGAGCGCGCCGCTAGACGTTACGCTGTTGTCCACGTCTGTCGCCATGGTGACTACGGCAGTACGAGCGGAAACCGGGGATAACGCGGATATTACGTCATCGACACGCGACAAGTGCACAGGGACGGGCACTATTTAAAAGTGTGAACTTCTCTGAAATTAAACATCTTTGAGAACGTTTGGGATATTGTAACCACACAACTGCAGGATTTTTGGATATTTTATACAATAATCTTACATATTGTACCTTAAAGTCCTAACCATCAGTCCATTTTTTCATTCATCCCATTTTAGTCTATTTTGACTCCAAACATCACTTAAGTTTTGTCATATTTATTTGTCATGTTTTGTTCAGTTGTCTTGCGTTTGTTCATTTTGGATGTTTTGTTTGTTTTTCTCTCTTTTAATTTCACCATCTTCCCCCTCATGATGATGATGATGATCCGTGATTATAGTGATGAACCGCGGGATCTCTGTCCGTTATACAGGCCTGGCGAGTGGGAAGAGCTTCCCTCAGAACGAGATCTGAACCCTTTTAGTCGTTACGAGGCTCTCGGAGCGCCTCATCGCCCAATCGTATTAGACGATATCGAATCGGCCGTCTCTGAGATATTAGAAAGCCAAATCGCTGACAAATCCCCATCGGATGAAGGTTTTACTGAACTAGAGTTGCTGCAAAGTGACTTAAACACTACTTGCCCCGGCCAGGAGGGGGCGTCACTTCAGGAGCACAGAAAAACACCCACACGGATGTCAATGGACCAAAAAGACAAATCCCTGAGGTCTTTTAATGAAGAGGAAGAGGAAGATGAAGGTCTTCACAACCGTTCCACGGATGACAACGCGGATCTGCAACGGTCTCTTCCTGCACTGGTGCATGATGGGAAGGAGGCGGCCGTGGAAGTGACCAAAACTAGCGGTGAAACTTTAGTAAACGGTGTCTTTGCAATCAAAAACGACCAAAAAAGCAAGGTGGCCCCAGGGGATTCTGGGAAATGTAGTCCGCCTGGACCACACGTTGAGGACAACAAGGGACCAAACTCAGACGTAGAGCTCCTCTCCGAAGCGGAGAAACGCAGACGGGCCAGTGAGGCCGAGATGAAGTCGTGGCTCGTGAAGACCATGCAGAGACCAATCGAAGGTGAGTTTTATTTTGATTGACAGGACAGACCAACCAATCACAGCCAAGGAGTGTTTTTGAGCATGCACTTTCTAAAACTAGTGAGCTGTCTGCTATTGACATAGTGTTATTTTAGAGTCATTTAAACGTAAAAACAGTTTTTGCAATGCATTCTGGGATTGCCTTCTCCATGAAAGATATGCAATTGTGCTTGATAATTTTTCTCAGAGAGAAGAGAATAATAATGCATAATGCCTTTTGTGTTGAAAATGTCTAGGTGCTGTCTATGTTATTTAAACGTAAAAACAGCTTTTTGCAATGCATTCTTTTTTTAAAATGTTTTATTTTTTTATTAATAATACATATCTGCATATACAAAGTAATAGACCAATGATATACACACAAGTACACAGAGGGGAGAAAAAAAGGATCAAACAAACAAACAAAAACAAAACAGCAAGATGTATAGTAGATATAGTAGTGTATGAAGGTACAGTAATCATTTTAATGAACCGGTTATTCCAGTGTGATATAACAACATTTTTTTGTTATTTATATATATATTTATTTATTTATTGTTTTTTTTTTTTGTGATAAAAAAGTATCGATATAAACTCACCGAGTGATTAATAGATATCTAGACAATTTAAAACAATAATATTTCTAGTAATAATAATAGTGGCAGTAGTAGTAGAAGCAGCAGTAACAATAGTAATATTAATAACACTTATACTGACAATAATATTAATAACAATATAATCTTAGTTTTATGTGACTTTAGACCAGTTCGGACGTAAAATAATAAATCACTACTCTCTAGTTCTGAGAGCCATGCAATGCATTCTGGGATTGCCTTCTTCACAAAAGATATGCAATGCTGCTTCTTGATCATTTTTCCCAGAGAGTAGAGAATGAATAATGCACAATGTTGCTGTTTTTGTGTTGAAAACGTCTAAATGCTGTCTATATAGGCACTAGTGTTAGAGCGTGTGTGTGTTTACTTCAGTGTGTCTCTCAGCAGAGCTCGATCGTGACAGTGGAAAAACAAACGTTGGTTGAACACGTGCGTTTGATCCCGTTTGGCCCTGAGCAGAATCAACACGAGGCTTCAGTCTCCGGTGCTCTTGATGACCGATGTCTCTTAACCCGGTCATTTTAACCCCAAACTCTTCTTCTTTTTTTCATCAGAAGGGTCTGAGACCCTAGGACTTTTGTCACACTTGAACCACGAATACACAAAAAAAATCTTAAGTTAATGGATTCGAATAGTTTTGTGGTTGAAACTTAAAAAAGTAACACATCCTTCCCTCACGGGTCAATTTGACCCCCATAGGAGTGAATGGATGCGAGGAACGCTTCAGTTCACATATAAAAAAAACAAATGCTCAAAATTCTAACCCAAAATGCTATAACTATACCAAAAAAATAGTTTTATAATGTCTACATGTGTATCTGAATGCACACTGAAGAGAAACTGACTTTAGGACCCAGAAGAACAGCTCCTCTGCTCCATATAGAGCTATAAGGCCATCTAGAGTCATGAAATATCATGATATATTTCCACAAGAGGTCGCCAAAGACACTCAATGTAAGATATGTTGAGCTGAATTAAAAGGGTTATGCATGAAATTGAGTTATTTTGAGTTTAAGTTGAAAGAATGTGCTTAAATTACCATTTATTTATTGATCAAATCAGGTAAAAAAAAAAAATATATATATATATATGACCAAAATCAAATTAAATAAGCGTGTAAGCGAGAGGGTAATGGTCCAGACTGGTTTGGCTGATATCTGATCTGATCCGCAGACATGCTGCTGTTCAACGAGGAAAAGAGCAAAGCTCCGCCCATGTTCCTCTGCTTTAAGGTGGGGAAGCCAATGAGGAAGTCGTTTGCCACGGGTCGGACCTCAAGCCCCGCCCACTCCCTGACCGGCAGGGGCCGGAAGCCGGAGTACTGGTTTGCTGTGCCGCAAGAAAGGTATGACGAGTTTTCCCATAATAAAGGTATACAAGGCATTTATAGGCAAAATCATTGATTAGAATATAAAAAGTACACTAGGGTTTAAATATCTCTGCTTCAAACTATATTTGATAATTAGATAAATGTTATTAGTAATGTTGAAAACGGTTGTGCTGCTTCATATTTTTTGTGAAAACAGGATTTTTCATAAATTGAAAGTTCAAAAGAACAGTATTTATTTGACATTAATCTTTTTTTATACATTATTTATGTCTTTACTGTCGCTTTTGAACAATTTAATGTATCCTTGCTGAATAAGTGTATTGACTTCTCTCCAAAAAATGTGTTTAATTGCGATTAATATATTTAAAAACGTTTGTGTGTGTGTGTGTATATATATATATATATATATATACACACACACACACACACACACAGTGATATTAGTCAAATCTATATATTGAAAAACATTGTTAAATAATGTTCTTTAATCTTGTATGTAATTCAACACAAACTTTGGGCTGTCCAGACAAAGGCTAAAAGAGTTTGTGTTGAATTAAATGCCAGTTACAATTTATTGTGTAGCTAAAAATAGCAATAAAATCTAAGGGAAAAAACATTAATTACAAACAAGCCCAAAATACACTGTTCTGGTTCGTTCTACGTTCGGTTATTATCTGCTTTTTCAAGAAGTCGCTTATATATCTGTCCAGTTGAATGTGAGTAACCATGAGAGCGTAGAACGGCGCCGCGTTTTCACTCGTAAAATCATTAGACTCCTGTTTTTTCATCTCCAAATTTAAGATCTCTTAAAATGATATTTAAGAAGTTTGTCTGTCATGCCGTTTAAGATATTTAAGTCTTTAACCTCTTAAGTGTCGCGCCCCCTTTTTTAAATAAACATGGAAATGCACAATCCGAACTTAAATGGTTGTAATTCAAGAATGCTTTGGAATATAGACGTAAGATTGGCCTTGCTTTAAAGAAGACATTTGGCAGATTTATGTAGAAGTGAAATAAATTAGGAAAGTGAAACAGAAAAAAAGTTATAGAAGTTTAAGTTTTTGAAAATGTACAAATTTAATTATTCATATTTTATATCAAATATATTTTTTCAAAACCCGGGCGACTCTAAAATGCAAAAAAATCAAAGCCAAAACTCTGAACAAGTTGTGTTTCAAATTTTAGGTTGGTATCTCAGTAAATGAGCTTTCAGTGAGAGTGTGTTTGGGCGCAGTACCGAACGCTTCCACTAGGGCACAACCAGACTCCATTACTGCCCATATAAGGGCGCCTCCATTTCCATATGTGTTTTGAGTGATCTGAACCATTATTTCCACAATTATCATACAATTTATGAAGTAGGCATCCTATTCAGAAGTAATATGGGAAGTGTGGCATATTTTGATATGAATTCAACCTCTAATAATCACATAAAACTAACAAGCATGTGCGTTATAGCTCGCTGCCACATCTCAAATGGTGAATCTATCATTTTTTTTTCTTTATATTTAAAACTTTTTTAGACCTTTTTTTCTAAAATTATTGAATGGATGTTATCTTTTGAACTATTGGCATGAAAACAAACTGAGGTTTCTACCATTCTTTCATGATTTTCATGTCCATCATATTTCAAAATAAAGGTCCTTAACACACCTTAGGAGTATGAAAATATTCTTGTTGCAAATTGATAGATTAATGCTCTTCTGTAATTTATTTTGAAAATCAATCACCAAATATGAAAACTAGAGATTGTAAGCTTTCAACTGAAATATAGTTTGTCAATATTAGTTTAGGTTTAGTATAGGATATTACTGTTTTAAATATGTAATGTGACAATTACGGTGACAATGACCTTAAATTTCATAAAACTGAAATTTTTAGACTTTTTAAGGACTTTCACACACATGCTCCCAAAACATTTTACACTTCACACACATCTATTTTTAGTTGCAAATGCGAGTGAAACGCTCCCACTGTCGATCCCTGTGTGTGTGTGTGTGTGTGTGTGTGTGTGTACGTTCCTAACCAAACGTTCTCGGCTCTAGAGTGGACCACCTGTACTCGTTCTTCATCCAGTGGTCTCCCGATGCGTACGGGAAGGACGCTCAGGAGCAGGGCTTCGTGGTCGTGGAGAAAGACGAGCTCACCATGATCGACAACTTCTTCAGTGACCCGGTTCCTCGCAGCTGGGAGGTGAGCAATACACCTGAGAGAAACACCTACAGGAATAACTGATGGCGGGCCGTTGAACTCATAGAAAATAATGCAAAATCCTCAGGTGTGCATTGTTTACTAATATTTCAACAGACCGGAGTCAGTTATTCCACTTATGCTACGGTCACCACACCTCAAAACATTGTTCGGATGATGCATTTCAAGACATTTATCAGGTTTTTGTCCTTGAAACGTTCTTGTGTGTGGGACTAATTTCTTAGGCATCTCATCCCACGCCTCCGTTGCTGATTCCAAAACCTCATTTTAGAGCCTGATAGCAGATTAATGCAGTTATTAATGCAGTTATTAGAGAGAGAGAGAGAGAGAGATTAAGCGTGTGTGAATTACCTGAGTCTGTGTCTCTAAGTGTTTGACAGCAGCGTCTCGACTAATAGTGAAACTGTAAGTTTATCTGCTTCAAGAACAGCGCCGTTATGCGTTTTAGAGAGAGAGAGAGAGAGAGAGAGAGAGAGAGAGAGAGAGAGAGAGAGAGAGAGAGAGAGAGAGAGAGAGAGAGAGAGAGAGAGAGAGAGAGAGAGAGAGAGAGAGAGAGAGAGAGAGAGAGAGAGAGAGAGAGAGAGAGAGAGAGAGAGAGAGAGAGAGAGAGAGAGAGAGAATTACCTGAGTCTGTGTCTCTCAGTGTTTGACAGCAGCATCTCATCTAATAGTGAAACTGTAAGTTTATCTGCTTCAAGAATAGCGCCGTTATGCGCTTTAGAGAGAAAGTGAGAGAGAGCGATTAAGCGTGTGTGAATTACCAGAGTGTGACGGCTGTATACTTGTATTGTGGTTTTTGCCGTGTCTGGGTTTTGCTCCTCCTACAGGTGCGCTGCGGAGCTGAGGGGGTAATCAGGTGGATTGGGTGCACCGGTGCACAGGTGTGCCTGTCTATAAAAGCTTCCTGTTTGGTGTCCTCGTGGAGCGTTCCATTCTGTCACATCGATCCCTGGCCAGGACCGAGATGTTGATCGGCGTTGCAGCGTATTGCGAGAGCTTGAGAGACAGTCTTTATCATGAAGAATGTGTAAAATAAAGAGAGTATTGTAACCGCCGTAAACGTTTCTTCCTCCTTCATTGTTGCTCCCTAGTAAGGGCGTAACACCGAGTCTGTGTCTCTCAGTGTTTGACAGCAGCGTCTCGACTAATAGTGAAACTGTACGTTTATCTGCTTCAAGAACAGCGGCGTTATGCGTTTTAGCGAGAGAGAGAGACTGTGCTTTTTGTACCTAATAAATGTAATTTTGTGGCAAAAAAAACATGGAAATAATTTGTCGTTTTCCTGTTGTTTACTATATTTATTTTCTTGGTCCGTGTCTTTGGCTGTTGTCGGCTGTAAAGACCTTTTGAAAAAATTGAAATAATTTGGCGAAGTGATACGGAACTGTAATGCGGTCGAAACCTGCCGGAACTACTTCCCTGAAATGACCTTCACACCTTAGAACGCTCGTCAACCAATCAGATTCAAGCAGAGTATAAAAGGATTCAATAAATATGAGAATTACGTTTCTTTCATGTTTGTCTTCTAGATCATCACGATTAATGAGGCGAAGAGACGCCAGAGCTTCAGCTTCGAGGACGAGGAGCCTGTAGATCTTCTTCCGGTGCTGATGGACCCCAGCGCTCTCCTGGAGGACACACACATCGAGAAGGTCTCCTTTACTTGCCAACTACAGACTTATGAACGATCCATTGGGATTTCATTCCATTGGGACTAGTCATTGTGACTAGTTTGACTAGTATTTTAATTTAATATTCAACAATATTATTGATCTGACTGCATTGACACCATTATATGAGAAATGAACTGAGCTGGACGATGACATCACAATTTACTCCAGAGCGGCTATATATATATATAAATGAACTAAACTTTTTTACAACAAAAATGAAACATCACTGAGCTTACTTAAAGGGATAGTTCACCCAAAGATGAGCATTAGCCCATGATTTACTCACCCTGAGGTCATCCTAGGTGTGTATGACTTTCTTCTTTCAGACGAATACAATCTGAGTTATATTAAAAAATGTCCTGGCTCTTCCGAGCTTTATAATGGCAGTGAATGGGTGTCTGTCTTTGCACTTTTATGATGGACAGATGCACTTTTATGATGGATAGATGCACTTTTATGATGGATAGATGCACTTTTATCATGGATAGATGCACTTTAATCATGATAGATGCACTTTTATGATGGATAGATGCACTTTTATGATGGATAGATGCACTTTTATGATGGATAGATGCACTTTTATCATGGATAGATGCACTTTTATCATGGATAGATGCACTTTTATCATGGATAGATGCACTTTAATTGAATTCCAAAGACAGACACCCATTCACTGCCATTATAAAGCTCGGAAGAGCCAGGATATTTTTTAATATAACTCTGATTGTATTTGTCTGAAAGAAGAAAGTCATATACACCTAGGATGGCTTCAGGGTGAGTAAATCATGGGCTAATGCTCATTTTTGGGTGAACTATCCCTTTAAGCTGGACTGTGACGGTATTTTCTTCTGGAATCAAACTTTGTTGCATTATTTTCCTGTTATCTCTGTAAAGCTGCTTTGAAACACTCTGTATTGTATAAATAAAGCTGACTTGACTTGACTAGTTTGCCGCTCTTCTCTGCAGTTGTCGACTCGTTTGCCGGCGCGTGTTCAGGGTTATCCGTGGCGCCTGGTCTACAGTACAGTCGTACACGGGACCAGCCTGAAAACCCTGTACAGGAACCTGACGGAGCTGGACTGCCCTGTGCTGATGGTCATCAAAGACATGGACAACCAGGTACACACACTCCTGTTACTGCTGTTGTAGTGCTGGGCGGTCTACCGGTTCATACCGAACACCAGTGTTTATTTTTGTTTTGATAGTAATTTTTAATATACCGCAATACCGGAGTATGTTGGGAACACTGTTTGAGAGGGTCTTTTCATTGTAACTAGGGTGGCCATTTCCATAACACCAAAAAGGACGACACTTTGCGGCATTTAGGCGTTGTGTCCACCAATGCGTTTTTTCATGCGCCTGCCGTATTTTTCCAATTTTTTCAATGGGAGCGCCGCGTTTTTTAAACGGCATGAGTGTAACGAGGCGCTGAGCGTTTTTTCACGCTGAATCGCTGGCGTTTTTTACTGGTCGCCGAGAGTTGAAGAATGCTCAACTTTGGGTAAAACGCAGCGCTCATCACTGTCACTTTTTACCCAGCCATCCAATCACAGTGGAGGAGGGGCGGGGCTAATACCACACCGACCAACTGTCACAACATTCTTTCTGTACAATGACATCAACCAGCAGAGCTAACCGAACAACATGGATGAAAAATATTTGTTTTGTGTGAAACAAATTATCTGCGAAATCAGTTACAAGTAAACTGTGCTGTGGATATTCTGTATCATAGCAACGAAACGTCTCAACTAAAAAAACTAAAAACTCTTTGGTGGACACACGGCCTTAGTGAGGCAAGAATAATTGCTTACGACTCTGCTGTACTCGCAACTACAATACAATTGTGTCCATCATATCGATGGTGTCATGATACAGTGATTCTGAAATAGCCTACTCTATTCGTTGCCAAACAATTTGTTCTACCATATATCTTGATGTGGACCTATGTGTAACAGAAGAGGCAAAACACTGTTTATTCACAGTATTTGTATTTATTCAAGACATTTTGATGTGTTTCAAAAGCTGACCACTGAGATGAACCTGTCTTGCAAAAGTGCACAGTGCCTGAAAACATAACATTTCTGGACTTCCAGAAATGCATAAATAAACAAATAATGAATGCGAAAAATAAATTAATATATATTTGAGTTTTTAAAGCTCCAGTCCGTAACTTTTTGGGGTTAAAAATTATCCAAAATAAATGTGAGCCAAGTACATAACCAGCCAGTGTTCAAAACTCTCTGCTTGCCGTAGCTCGATTCACAATGGTAGCTTGTAATATTGTTTTTAACTCAATGTTTTTAATTAAATGTTTTTAGTTGCATGTACCCCATGCACACCGTTTGACCATTTAAAACTTAAAATGACAAGAAAAAACATATAAAAACGAACGAAAACTGACTAACTGCAATGCATTTCAATGGACATGGAAGCAGAGAATGTCCGAGTGTATTGGGTTAGCTATGCGCACTGTGATTGGCTCATCGCGTTTGGGGGCGTGGCTTAGCCATAGGTCAATTGTAACTGTGGTGATGCACAGCTGTGTGTGTTTCTAAACGTGATGAAGATGGAGAGGTTAAACTATAATTGATAGCTGTCAAATTATATTACAGTGTTTCCCATGCATTGGTTCACGATATCAACGCTGCCCGCCACAGATCGATTTTCCAAAAGGCTTTGACATCGTCGATTAAACATGATAATTGCACGTTTCAATGTCAAAACGTGGCGCGGGTGTTTTTATATTAATGGATCTGAAGTGAACTGACGGTCTTTAGAAAAGTTTTAATGTTATTTCTATTGAATCTTTCTTTATCTTTCCCGATAAAGCAGCGTTTATGGGGAACGTTACAGTGTTTCTGCCGCTCCTACAGCGCCTCCTGCTGGCAGCTCTCAGTAAACAGCCTTAATGCAAACCTGTATTAATACTAGTGTGGTTTTTTTTTTTTACAATATTCACTCAGGACAGTAAAATAGGGCATTCTGAGTCAATCTACAGCAGTATCTCCTCTCTCAATCAGTAGAAAATGTGGTTAACACCCAGTCATGCTTGAAAAAAAGAATACCTTCATATACTGTGAAACCGGTATAATTTAGAAAAATACGGTGATATGGATTTTTGGTCATACCGCCCAGCGCTACGCTGTTGGTGTAAAACCTGTGACGATGTCATGCTGAAAAACTAGTAATTTTCTCCTGCAGATTTTTGGAGCGTTTTCCACTCACCCTTTCCGAGTGAGTGAGCACTGTTATGGCACAGGAGAGACCTTCCTCTACAGCTTCTGCCCGGAGATCAAGGTGTGTTCCTACATATGTTTTTAAGGACAAAATTAATGAAAAATGTCCTTGCAAGTGCCACATAGCGATGCCTTAACCTGGCAACCACCCAGAACACCGTAGCAGCTGCCTAGCAACACCCTAGAAACCACTCAGGAACATTGGCAATGGCATAGCAATGCCTTGGCAACCACCCAGAACATCTTATCAACTGTTTGGCAATCTCCTGGAAACCAATCAGAACACCTTAGTAACTGCCTAGCAACACCCTAGAAACCACTCAGGAACATTGGCAACCACATAGCAATGCCTTAGCAACCACTCAGAACATCTTAGCAACTGTTTGCTAATGTCCTGCCAACCAATCAGAACACCTTAGTAACTGCCTAGCAACACCCTAGAAACCACTCAGGAACATTGGCAACCACATAGCAATGCCTTAGCAACCACTCAGACCATCTTAGCAACTGTTTGCCAATGTCCTGCCAACCAGTCAGAACACCTTAGTAACTGCCTAGCAACACCCTATAACCACTCAGGAACATTGGCAACCACATAGCAATGCCTTAGCAACCACCCATAACATCTTAGCATCTGTTTGGCAATGTCCTGCCAACCAATCAGAACACCTTAGTAACTGCCTAGCAACACCCTAGAAACCACTCAGGAACATTGGCAACCACATAGCAATGCCTTAGCAACCACCCATAACATCTTAGCAACTGTTTGGCAATGTCCTGGCAATCAATCAAAACACATGTGCAACCGCCAGGCAACCACCCAGAACACCTTAGCAACTGCCTACCAACACACTAGAAACCACTTAGGAACATTTGGCAACCACATAGCAATGCCTTGGCAACCACCCAGACAATAGTTTTCTTGGTGGTTGCTTGGCGGTTGCAAAATGTGTTCTCGTTGGTTGCCAGGACATTGCCGAAAAGTTGCTAAGATGTTCTGGGTGGTTGCCTAGCAACACCCTAGAAACCACCCAGAGAATGATAGTTACCGTTAAAAAAATGCCCTAGCAACCAGACAGAACATTTTTGTAACCGCTTAGTAACCAGCAACCCACCAAAGTTCCCTAGCAACAACCTTGTAACAGCATACAACCTCTCAGAGCTCCTTAGGAATCAATTCAAACACCCAGAACACTTTAATAACTCCCTAGCAACACCCTAGAAACCGTTAAAACAATAACCGTTAAGTAATGCACTTGCAACCATTCAAAAAACTACCAACACCCTAGAAACCACTCAAGGAACATTGGCAACCACATAGCAATGCCTTAGCAACCACCCAGACTTAAAAAAAAAAACATTTAAATAATGACACTCGACGTTCTTTATCTTCAACCGCCAGGCAACCACCCAGAACACCTTAGTAACTGCCTACCAACACCCTAGAAACCACTCAGGAACATTGGCAACCACATAGCAATGCCTTAGCAACCACCCAGAGTAAAAAAAAAAACAGTTAAATAATGACACTCGACGTCCTTTATCTTCAGGTGTACCGCTGGACGGGTGAAAACTCCTACTTTGTGAAAGGAAACACGGATTCCCTTCAGATCGGAGGAGGAGGGTGAGTTCAGAAACATGCTAACCTGCCGTACATGTGTGTCTCTCTCCGCCTCCATGTTTAACACACGCTGTCCGCTTCCCAGGGGTCGTCTGGGCCTGTGGCTGGACGCCGACCTGTACCACGGCACCACCTCCAAGTGCTCCACCTTCAACAACCTGCCACTGTCCTCCAAACAGGACTTCACCGTCCAGAACCTGGAGGTGTGGGCCTTCGAATGAGCCGACACGTACAAACGCGCACTGTGAGACACGCTTCTCCACGCTCACGGCATGACACACGGCGAAGCGTTGGGCGTCGCTTTATCCCGCACTGTACGAGGCTGTTTGTGCAAATCCAGTCATACTTGATGACGTTGTTTTAATAGTTTCCTCCTGGTCTGAGCTTCAGACTAAAGTGCAGAGAGAGAGCTTTAACCTCCGACGCCATCCCAGCATGCAATGTTCTCTAGAGACGTTCTCCTGCTGAAATATAACCAATATATAAACACATTTGTGTACGTGAACGGAGAGGAATCGTTTGATACTCGGGACGCCGAAGAACCGTATTCGTTGGCCAAATCTGTTGCGTCAGGGTCAGTTGCTCAAATTGAAAATATATTTGTTTACATTCGTGGCGATTTGATGCGTTGAGTTCATTCGGTGCGTTTTCATGTTTGTTTGACGAGAGTGCAAGTAAAAGGACGTCGTCCTGGAAATATGTACCACGGATACTTTCTTTTTGACCAAAGTGTTTTATTTGCCTCGTTCTCCAATGTTTTATATTGTTTTCTTTTTGTATTTGAGTTTTTTATATTGAATGTGAAGTATAATCAATGATTGTTTTACTGTTTTGTGATATTTTAGGGACCTTTCTAGTTCATTTAAAAGGGAAGCACTTGAAATAAAGAGATGCCAGTATTATTGTTGAACACTATTTCACTAGTAAACAAGTTGCTTCAGTTTCTAGCAAATCAGGTTCACCACTTCACTGTGGGTTTGTGTATGCAATCACTCACTGACTGATGTCACTTCCTGTTACGTCGGGACATCTTTGGAACGGTGTGAGCAGATGCACGAGGTCTGATTGGTTGAATAGTTCTTTGGAAATGTCACTCATTTCACTACTAGACAGCATCTGTGGGCATTAACTAACCGTGTTCATTCCAAAACCGTATTATGTGATCCATGTAGGGAGAAAAAAAAAAGTTTACTAGCGTTTCACTCTAAAAAGTGTCTCTGATTTCAAACACTGTCCAGTTGTGTATGGTAGTCAGTGAATGTCATATTTATTGTGCATTTCTGTGTTTTAAAGTGAACCAAATAAATGCAATAAATGAGGAAATAAATGACTCATGGTTTGTTCATTTAAGGGGCTAAATGTATAATATTTAATACTTGCATACAGATTAAACTCGAAAAATTAGAATATGGTGCAAAAGTTCATTTATTTCAGTAATTCAACTTAAAAGGTGAAACTAATATATTATATAGACTCATTACATGCAAAGTGAGATATTTCAAGCCTTTATTTGTTATAATTGTGATGATTATGACTTACAGATATGAAAACCTTTTCACAATATTCTAATTTTGACTTTGGGGTTTTCATATCTGTAAGCCATAATCATCACAATTATAACAAATAAAGGCTTGAAATATCTCACTTTGCATGTAATGAGTCTATATAATATATTAGTTTCACCTTTTAAGTTGAATTACTGAAATAAATGAACTTTTGCACCATATTCTAATTTTCGAGTTTCATCTGTACATGGACACAGGATTCAATCTGTATTCCATAAAGAAATATGACGATATACTCAAGCAAACTTCTGATTGAAGTAACACTTAACAATAACATAAGTTAATGCGTAACTAACATGAACCAAGATTGAACAATGTATGTTTTACAGCATTATTAACATGCATTGGTTCATTGTTTAACTAACTGTAAAGTTATGATGGTGTTACTGAAATCACATGTTTTTTTATTGTACTGTAGGTATTCACATAATAACACAGAAAAACATACATTCATTTAAAACGATTTTGTCCCTGAGATGCTGTTAAAACAGTGCAAGCAGAGAAAATAACATGCAAAGCACAAAAATATAAACATTATTAATTAGACACAGCCACAGAAATATTTATATATATATATATATATATATATATTATATATAATACTATAGTTATTTATTATGTATTTTGTTTTGGAAGACCTGTAAAATGTTGTGACACACTTTGTATTAATGCATTAATTGCTACGTGGCTCTGCAACTGTAAACATGTTGTTTTGGGGTCATTAATATGAACTGCCAAATTGGTATATTTTACTTTGCCAACACACAGTAAAATCTAGAAACGTCTTGCAACTTCTGCGGGGTCACTCTTGTATGAAGTTCCCATGCGTCTGGTGTCCGTTGATGGCAGGGAGATCTGGATGTGTGTAAATCTGCTCAGGGGTCAGAGGTGAAAGTTCATAGGTGCTTCTCATGTAACCGATGCCGCCCTGCTGGAGGAGGAGCATCATCTGCCGGGCGAACAGCGGCTCCACCTGAGGACAGCAGAAGAGAGCGGCGTCGGGTCGTGTGGAGGTGAACATTGCGCATCAGTGTGAATGGAGAGGTCAAAGGTCACTACCTGGACGGTCAGGGGTCGCTTGTCTGCAGAGGGGTCACAGCTCTCGAAGAACAGCTGCACGTAGAAACGCGGAGGAGGACGTGCGTGCAGGAAATAACCCTGGAGTTCTGAATGAGTGAGTGAATATTGCATTAAAAGTCATCATGAAATCAAAATTGATTCTGGAATATTGTAGTATTTATTATAAATGATTTGTCATCAAATTATCATGCATTCTTGTAATCTTGAATCATGAACTTCCTCTTGCAGCAACAACATCTCTTGTCTGATGATGAGGGCGGGGCTATAACCTGTCACTCACATGAGATCAGCCAATAGCAAACCACAACCATCCAATCAGTTCCCCACGGACAGAATCAAGCCCCGCCCACATTTGTTCTTGTTCCAGAAGCGTTTCACTCGATGTATACGTCCCTATAGGGGAGTAACGACTAGCGCGACTTCTGTTTCATGTGGACTTTAAATATGCCATTTAGTTGTCGTCAGGGCAGCCTTTGTTATGGAAGCTTGTTTCTGCCACAGAATCAAAAATAAAAAAAGGTATTGCGACTTTATATCACGCAGTTCTGACTTTATAACTCGCAATTGCGACTTTATATCATGCAATTCTGATTTTATAACTTGCAATTGCGACTTTATATCATGCCATTCTGACTTTTGTCTCACAATTGCGACTTTATATCATGCAATTCTGACTTAATAATTTGCTATTTTGACTTTATAACTCGCAATTGCAACTTTTTATCACACAATTCTGACTTTTTTTCTCGCAATTGCGACTTTATATCACGCCATTCTGACATTATAACTCGCAATTGCAACTTTTTATCTCACAATTCTGACTTTTTTTCTCGCAATTGCGACTTTATATCACGCCATTCTGACATTATAACTCGCAAATGCCACTTTTTATCTCACTATTCTGACTTTTGTTTCAAAATTGCGTCTTTATATTACGCAATTCTGACTTAATAATTTGCTATTTCGACTTTATAACTCGCAATTGCAACTTTTTATCTCACAATTCTGACTTTTTTCTCGCAATTGCGACTTTATATCACGCCATTCTGACATTATAACTCGCAAATGCAACTTTTTATCTCACTATTCTGACTTTTATTTCAAAATTGCGACTTTATATTACGCAATTCTGACTTAATAATTTGCTATTTCGACTTTATAACTCGCAATTGCAACTTTTTATTTCACAATTCTGACTTTTTTTCTCGCAATTGCGACTTTATATCACGCAAAAATATAAAAAGTCAGAATTGTGAGATGACAACTTTATATCACGCAAAAAGATAAAACGATTAAAAGTCAGAATTGTGAGAGAAAAATTCGCAATTACCTTTTTTATTCTGTGGCGGAAACAATCTTTTTTATACTTTACAATTCGGAGGCCGTTTCAGGAAAACAGTCTGAGGACCGCCTCCAGAGGAAAACAAAACGAACAAAAACATTGCATGCAATGCGACAGCAATTACTTTATCTCCGTTAAATTTACGTAATTCATATTTCGCTCTTAATAGTCTATTTATAAAGGCATTCTATCTCTTTAACCAGACCTATTGTTATAATCACAACCGAAAATAAAAACGGTATTCAATCTCGTCCCTCAGCTAAAATGAAATCATACTAAAACCGCCAGTAGGTGGCGGCAAATCATTGTCTTAACGAGTTGAATCATTCAGTCAAACGATTCGTTCAAAACGGCTGATTCGTTCAGGGACAACGCAGACGTGACTGAAGCTGCGTCCCGATTCGAACGCTCCTTCAAATGCTTCCTTCGTTTCCCGTGAAATGAAGGATACAACAGATGGATCCTTCGCTGCCTTTTTTTCTACCCCAGAATGCACCCCGCACCAGTGACGACAGGATTTTTTTGAGAAAAATTGCCGAATTACACTTTTAAACGTTAGTATTGGATTTCAGCATAGCAAGCGGAGGCCCCTTCTATCGTGGGGCAAAGTCAAATGAGTGAAACATAGCTGTCATGGCTGGTTCTAACCATATATATATACCTAATATGGACGTAGTGTGCGTGACGTCCCCCGTAGTGTTTCTGAAGAGCATTTTTGAAGCCCAAAGTGGGCGGAGCCGGCCGTCGCCATCTTGGCAGCGTCACTCCCAGATAAACGCAAATGTGCAGCGAGGCGGATTAGCTGAGGTGACGTGACGCTAACAGACAAACGCTAGTGACATCAGCGGCAATCCACCTGTCACTCAAGTGGCCACGCCCTAAATTATCCACAACTTTAAGGCTTAATAAAATTTAAATGGATGAGTTATAAAAAAATTCAGCTGCCTCACAGTCGTCATGAAGGGCAAAATTAGCTATATAGACCAAAAACACTTTTTGTACCAGACTGTAAACATGTTTTATTCTGCTGTAAAGTTGGGCATTTTAACATGGGGGTCTATGGGACTGACTCTGTTTTGCAGCCGGCCTCTAGTGGCCAGTCGATGAACTGCAGTTTAAGTCACTTCAGTGTTGGATTAAGTGAGACACTTGAGGTTTCCGCTTGGTTCTTCTAACCTGTGAGGAAGATCTGTGTGTCCAGGACTTTGCTGGTCTGCTCCCTCTCTAGTTGACAGAGTTTGTCGCTCAGGTGTGTGTGTGTCGTGTCGCAGTACACCTGGCTCTGGCAGAAGCAGCGGGCATACAGGCCATCGGGCGTCATCCAGAGCAGAACGCCTCCCTCCAGCGCTCCTCGCTCCGCCTGAGGAAGGGGAACCAGCTCGGGGCCGCCGGGGCTCCAGCTGTCAGGGGGAGGAGCCAGTCGACAGCCCTCGACACTCGTCACCGTGACGTCAGCGAACAGAGTCTCGCCGCTGAACACCGTCACCTGCAGACGCGGGTCTGGGAGACATTCAGAGACCAGCGAGAACACGTGACCAAACAATGGAAAACAGAGATCATTGCATTTGTAGGTAGTTGCTAGGATGTTGCTAGGTGGTTGCTAAGATGGTCTAAGTGGTGACTGGGACATTTGTAGGTAGTTGCTAGGCTGTTGCTAGGGTGTTGCTAAGATGTTCTAAGTGGTTACTGGGACATTTGTAGGCGGTTGCTAGACAGTTGCTAAAATATTTTAAGTGGTTACTGGGGCATTTGTTGGTAGTTGCTAGGCTGTTGCTGGGTGGTTGCTAAGATGTTCTAAGTGGTTACTGGGGGATTTGTAGGTTGTTGCTAGGCTGTTGGTAGGTGGTTGCTAAGATGTTCTAAGTGGTTACTGGGTCATTTGTTGGTTGTTGCTAGGCTGTTGCTGGGTGGTTGCTAAGATGTTCTAAGTGGTTACTGGGGGATTTGTAGGTTGTTGCTAGGCTGTTGGTAGGTGGTTGCTAAGATGTTCAATGTGGTTACTGGAGCATTTGTAGTTAGTTGCTAGGTGGTTGCTAGGCTGTTGCAAAAATGTTTTCAGTGGTTATTGGGGCATTTGTAGGTAGTTGCTAGGTGGTTGCTAGGCTGTTGCTAATATGTTCTAAGTGGTTACTGGGGGCATTTGTATGTAGTTGCTAGGCTGTTGCTAGGTGGTTGCTAAGATGTTCCAAGTGGTTACTGGGGCATTTATAGGTAGTTGCTAGGCTGTTGCTAGGTGGTTGCTAAGATGTTCCAAGTGGTTACTGGGGCATTTATAGGTAGTTGCTAGGCTGTTGCAAGACGGTTGCTAAGATGTTCTCAGTGGTTACTGGGGCATTTGTATGTAGTTGCTAGGCTGTTGTTAGGAGGTTGCTAAGATGTTCCAAGTGGTTACTGGGGCATTTGTATGTAATTGCTAGGCTGTTGCTAGGTGGTTGCTAAGATGTTCCAAGTGGTTACTGGGGGATTTGTAGGTTGTTGCTAGGCTGTTGCTAGGTAGGTGCTAATATGTTCTAAGTGGTTACTGGGGGATCTATAGGTTACTGTTAGGCATTTGCTGGGTGGTTTTTAGGGTGTTTTGTGTGGTTTTAGACTGTTGCTAGGGAGTGTGTACCTGACAGTGCCATGGCCTCTGCTGATCTCATACTGGTCTCTAGGGTGAACGGTGACGGAGGGGAGTCAAATGTGTTACAGCTGTAGAAAGATCCACTTATCTGGTACCCTGGACACACACACACACAAACACACATTCTCTTCACTTTAAATGACAATATATCTAATAAACAAATCACCACACACACACACACAAAGAGTAATTACCAGTGTCCCAGTTCTGCTCTCACACACACACACACACACACACACACACACACACACACACACACAC